TTATCTTTTCTTTTTTAATATATATTGACAATTAAAAGAACGGTCGTTAATAATTTAAACTGTAAGGATTAACAACAATTGCGGCAGGTATCAATAGCACATTTTTTCAACAAATCACAAAAATGTAATGCATGAATTGTCAATACCTATCGCGATAATTATTAATCGTTACGCCTTAAGTTATTAATGAGACTGCTCTTTCAATTGTCAATACATACTTAAAAAATATAAGAGCAATTTAGTAATTAAACAAGTAGAATATCTTATAATGAAATCTCTTGGGACTTCAGATTAATTTAATAATTTTAAAAGACTTTTTATATTTAATTCTGTTAGATGGGATTTTATTGTAATTTTTTCATATATTTATAATCCCCACCACGTGATTACCAACGGGGTCATGTGCCCCCTTTAGTTTATTATGTTTAATTTATTCTTTTTAAAATAAACATGCCTTTCCCATTTAATGGTCAACACCATAGTATCAAATGAATCAAATGGGGCCACGTCCCACATTGACTTTTTTCCTAATTCTTTGTTATATTGTTGTCAATACCTGCCATGATAATTATTAATTGTTATGTCTTAAATTGTTAACAACTACTTTTTTAATTATCAATGCATACTTGAAAAAAAATAAGGACAATTTAATGATTAAATAAGTGGAATCTCTTATAATGAATTCTCTTGAAACTTCAGATTAATTTGATAATTTTAAAATATTTTTTATATTGAAATTTTTTTAGATGAGATTTTATTGCAATTTTTACATATATTTATAATCCCCACCACGTTATTACCAACGGGGTCATGTGCCCCCTTTAGTTTATTATGTTTAATTTATTCTTTTTAAAACAAACATGCCTTTCCCATTTAATAGTCAACACCATAGTATCAAATGAATCAAATGGGGCCACGTCCCACATTGATTTTTTTCCTAATTCTTTGTTATATTGTTGTCAATACCTGCCATGATAATTATTAATCATTATGTCTTAAATTGTTAACAACTATTTTTTTAATTGTTAATGCATACTTGAAAAAAAAAAGAAGACAATTTAGTAATTAAATAAGTGGACTCTCTTATAATGAAATCTTTTGAAACTTCAGATTAATTTGATAATTTTAAATTTAATTCTCTTAGATGGGATTTTATTATAATTTTTTTCCATATATTTATAATCCCCACCACGCGATTACCAACGGGGTCATGTGTCCCCTTTAGTTTATTATGTTTAATTTATTATTTTTTAAAAAAACATGCCTTTCCCATTTATTTGGAATGATGTACTAGAAAAATGTGATCCTGACTGTGATTTTCTCCCCAATTCTTTGTTATATTTTTCCCTTTTTTAATTAGTATTATCATCATTATTTCATTCTATTTATATTACTATTATTTTGAAATTTTCTTTTATTTTGATAAATAATATTCTGAATAAATTGTCATTGCCTAATTAATTACGAATATATTCTATTCATCATAAAATAATTTTTTCCTGAATGTTACTTAAATTCTAAAAATAGAAATTAAGATATTACATGAGTCATAACCATAATCATTTCTTCTGCGTCATTCTTGCTCATTTGATTTCTTTTGCCTGTTTGGAACTGTAATAGGAGCTTTCAAAAGTAATTTTCAATTATGATTTATGAAATACAAAGTATGTATGTGTAGAGAATTTTATCTTGTCTTACGTAAAAATGTTTATAAGTACTTTTTTAACCAAATACAAAATTTGCATTCATAATAAAGGTAATTACAAGTTACAAATACTTAACAGTCCTCCTTTAGCATAATTAAAATTAAGAAAACAAGATTTTGAGATAATATCAATATTAAAAGATGAGAAATTATGGGCAAGAGCAAAAATTTCTTGCCAGGTGATGTTGAGACGAGAAGCACCATTGGGAGAAATCTGAAGAAAAACTTTTTCAACGCAATGAACCTGCATAGAAGGCTTGCCAGTAGATATCTATAAGTTGTAGTTATAAATCCATGATAGAGTAGCCTCTAGATATTTACAAAGAAAAGTAGAACCTACAGAAGCTTGATGATGCCATGGGAATTCTTTAAGCAGTGTCCCTCATAGCAAATAATACCATGGCAGTAATGTTTCCTCATTCTTCTATATTTAAATAGTAGCACATCCCAATCATTTTTGGTCAAATTCAAATGAGAGTGTTCACGGAGGAGGCTCTAATTAGAAGAGTAGGAAGATTGGAAGTTATTAAAAGCATATTCTGAGAAAGAAATTATATTCTTGATTTCATGTGTTGTGGCAAAAGGATGATCTCTTTTCCCTTCATGAAGCATTTTGTTTATTTTCCTCCATATAGTATTGAGTAAGCATATTAGTTCATAAATGAGATAATTCAAATCTTCCCTATTCAATTCTATCAATAGAAAAATAAACCAATTCCTAAATTCCTCAAAAGAAGTAGGAATTTTAATAGAATAAAGTTTGAACCAGACAGCGCTAGGAAAAAAGAATGCGTGAAAAAATGTGAATAGAGAAATTATGACAAACGAGAGAAAATAAATATTTAAGGGTAAAATTAAACATCCAAATCTTCTTTTAAAAAAAAAAAATTTCCCCACACATCGAGCGTATTCCTACAAACTCCCACCAAATATCAACTTTTCACACAAAACTATACAAAATGTATATGAATCACAATTGTAATCATGCATAATCTGTCACAATCATGTTTGAAATACTATTAAACACTAAATGTGAGTATATTTTCTAATAGGAATTTGAACCTTAGTCCATTTTTTTTCTAGGTATGTGTATCATTCTATTAGAAGTAATCTTATAAGAGGTATTGTTGGGTACTAAATATGTGTGCCTCTCTTCAATTCATCACATTGTGCAAAACTATCTTTTTTTATTAGATTCAACCCTGTTGGTGGCTGGTCCCCTTTTTCTTTTTTGTTTGTTTTGGGTACTGTGGCTGGTCCAATTCTAACAACACCGATGCTGAATTAAAATCTACGGCCCAACACATTAGCTATAACCCGCGAATTCATAGTGGCCTAACTAAGGGGTAGGGCCCAAGAGGAAACTACAAGAGAGCGTTTCGATTTAAAAAAAAAAAAAAAGAGTGCTCTGCCCCACCTAATAGTAGTCTGCCGGTGGCATCATCACCTAAAACCTTGTTAATGATTATTAGGAGGGGGAAAAAAGGAAAATCCAAAGAACAATACATAATATAAAACAACAAAAAGGAATATATAACAAGATTAATATTTACCCATGAACAAAGAACTCTTATCAATGGATATAGCCGCTGGTCAAGAATTTTTTTTGGTGTAACCGGAATATCTCCAAATCACATTAGATTTAAAACTAATTTTTTTTGGACGGAAGTAGTCAAAGAATATCCCTCCTAACAAATGTGTCTTTTTAAAATTCAAATTTATGTTCTCTTCCTTATAAGAAAAGTCTACTACCACCTCAATTAACAGCTTGTTGGTCACTGATCAAGAATATTTAAAATTCAACCGCTTCACCATATAACATCTTCATTTTATTATTTAGAGACCAACGTAATGTGAGAACTTTCACAGAGAAGTATGAATTACTTAGCATTGTTTCTGAATGCCAAATGATTTTATATCCAAGAAAAACACGTGTGTGTGTGTGTGTGTTACATCGTATCCAAACCTTTCTGCTGCAAGAATTTTACAATTACGAATTTTGGGGTATTGTTATTGTTTTGTGAGAGATGGAGAGAGTTTGTGACCAAAAGAAAAAGAAGGCAGAGAATAATGGAGCTTTGAGGGCCAAAATTGGCAGCGTAACATTCAACTTTTTGTACAAATAAGTAAAAAAAGTCACTATATTCTGTTCTTAGTATAATGACTAAATAACTAATTTATAAAATATTAAGTATATTAGTTAAGTTAGTTATTTGTTACAGATCTATATGTTTAACTTTTACACGTTAGGTGTTTTTCCCTCACACCAAAGCCATATGGTTGAACTCAATATTGAACAATATATCATGTCAAATCTTCATATAAAAAGACTCCTATTAAAAGATTGCTTTCTCAAAGAATAAAATAATGATCCATATAGGAGGAAAAAACACATAAGTATTAAATTAAAAATTAAAAAAAAAACTATTGGTATCTCAAGAAATTGTTTTCCCTATATATATATATATATTCTTTAAATGTATATAATTAGTTATTTGCATTTTGAATGGCCATATTTGGAAAATACTCAGCTGCCCCGGGCAAAGTGCTGACGCAGACTTGCTCCTATGTTTCCGTTGGTTCATCGTCCTGTAAGAAAGCGACCATGTGATAAAGTCAATATGGCTACCAACGAGTCAACGATTCAATGCCAAAACGAAACAGCACCAAAGTCTCACTTTTTGGATTCACTGACCTCAGACCACACATGACACTGACCATTCAAACCCCGACAGGGAGAAACCTTCTTACACAATCAATTCATGGCGTAGCTTCCTGCAACTTCAACTTCATGCAAGCTTCTGCAATATCCTCTGAAATTATGAGCTGAAAATCTAAAACTTAGGAACCTTTGAAGGCTAAGATAGATAGATTTCACGACGCATATTTACAAATTACCGTAACGATATGTTCATAATGATAATGAAATTTGAATCTGAACACGTTTCTTTTTATGATACAATACCAGTTTTTAATCAGCTTAGTTTAAAACCAATAAAGAAGAACCAGAACTAAGCCATCTATATTCCTCTCATGAACTGAAAAACCACCCTATTCTTTCTCTGCCCAGTTATTAGCAGATCAATTTTAATGCTTCAGAGACATTGTTGAATCTGTAATAACTGTAGAATCAACAAAGAAATCCGTACCTTGTTGATGAGAATTAAAGGTTCGAAGAAACTGAAGGAAAGCCTGAAGTAGTCAGAGCGACAAGAAAGGAATGAAGAGTAGCTGAGGGATGGAGGAAGGGGAGGTATGACTGTTAGGTTTTACCAAAAGCTCAAGCTTTTTTTTTTAAAAAAAAAAAAAGAACGGGGAAATTTTGGCATAAGGGAGAGAGAGAAGTTTGAAACAGAACATGTTAATGGCTTATTATTTTTGTATGGGAAGGAAGAAAGTGAGATTGAAAGAGAGAGTTTGTGATCAATGTTGTTGATTAATACTATGAACCGTAATTATGACTCTCCAACATCATCACCTCCAACTCCTCCTTCACCACTTCCAGTTAGTTTTGCACCAGGCAACCAGAGGTACTCCTTCTCGGCATCATCAACTCCTTCGCCGCCCTTCTCGCCGGCACCTTCCAGCCAAACTTCTCTTGAGCAGGAGAAGCTTCCCCTTCTGCAACAAGACCAACCAAATACTGATACTACTAATTTGCCATCAGCCTTTTCATTGGATCTCCAGAACTCCCAAGAATTGGAACCTAAAAGTACATGCCTTCAAGAATTGTAAGCTCTCTTCTCTTTTCACAGTAGTCATCCGTTTGACAAAAAATGTTTAGGTTTCGCATCAGGAACTTTCCATGAACATTTGCTTTCATTGGCTTATTAGATTTTACTCAAGTGGATTAATATTTCATCAGTTACAGAGAATGAATAATCAGATCAATTAGATTTATAATTTATTCGATTCCTTGTTTACAAGATGAGGGCAAGCAAACCCTTTGCAAGCGATTTCCTTTTGAAGTTACTTGACTGGTAGGTTTAGTTTTCTATAATTCAAAAACCAGGCATTATTCCTACTTAAAGCACACAACCACCAGTCAAACACAGATATAAGTACATCACAATAAAGTTTATCATGTTTTTTTTTTTTTTGCCCCTCTTTAAACTACCGTTACAGGATTTTATTTATTTATTCATTTAAGCGTATATTATGAGAAAGAAAAGCAGCTGGTACAGTAATTTTATATGACTTGCTGGTTTTAATTTGTTGGCGTAATGAAACAGGTTGGAATGGTTTATGCAAAGATGCTGCTGTTGTTGCATCAGATTTCTTGAATTCTCCAACCGCGACAAGAATTCTCAACCGTAACAAAGCAAAAGACAAAAACAAAAGCATGGTTTCTCATTTTAGCCTTGCTTTTACCAGAATGTTTTCTTAATCTTCTAGTATAATTTCAGATTCAGTTTGACATTCATTCAGTCGCTAACACAGCTTTTTCATATGCCTGGACTCTTTTTCATTATCATTTAACTCTGTATGTATCCGAAAACAAACTCACCAATAGCAGAATAAGATGCATCTGTGAGCATCAAAGGGCAAGACTTGAACATCATCTTTGAATGTGTTTTGAAAACATAATTGTGAGCTATCAAATTACGAAGAATTCCTGAAGGGGTGCGTTTTATATAAGAATACTCTTTAGCATGCAGATACTAAATACTGGTATATTCTAAATATCCCACCACAATTTCTATTACTTAGTACTTAATCATCCAACAAAATCACATACCATACAACACTTAATTACAAATTAAATTATTGTGACGTGGCAGAATTGATGATATGGTAAAAGCCACCCTCGTTCTACAATGCAATTTATAGTACTTCTCAAATCACAGCATCCAACTAAGGAAAGGGAGAGGAGGAGCCCAGAAAATCACAAATGCCAGTGAGACGGAGTAATGACAAAATTCCACGAACAGAAATATTGAGCCATAACTTTTATCAAGAAAATATATTTTATTGAAAATATAATATTTTGAACTGAAATGGGCAGCCATTTTATGTTGCTCATAGCAACTGGTTTCTGAATTCTAATACAAGGTAACAACACTTGTAAAAGATTTACATAAGCACACTGCATCACTGTGGATTTTGCTGTCTCTGTTGAGAGAAATTAGGATGAGTCTGTGACGTGTTTGGAAGTGCCACCATACCAGGTTGTAGATTCTGACTATTTGGGGCCATGCTACCAAACGCACCTTGTGAACTATGTTGCTGCTGTTGTGGCTGCTGCTGCTGCTGCTGCTGTAAAGGCATCATACTGCCGGGATTACCCCCTCCCATATTAAACACTGCAATGAGATTTCCGAGGAGTAACTTAGCATATACATTCAGAATATAGAATAATGATATTCTTGGTTGCGTCACAAGCCACAATTGTCTTGAGAACGGCAAATCAATTGGAGCTCCAAAATTAATGAATAAATGTAAGTTAAGGAAGTTAAAGGTCTACAGATCATACTTTGATCACTCAACATCTGGGAAGGATGACTTCGCTGAGGGTTGTTTCCAGATAATCCAAACTAAGGAGAGGCAACAAAGTATAGCAGAGGTGAATATGATGATTTCATGTAGTGTTTTAACAAAAAGCAAGCCAAGACAAAATAAGTGAAAAGCAAAATAAGTGCAATAAATGCAAGTGAAAAACAAAATAACATATGCCGATAATGAAAAGCAAAATTAGAATTATTGAAAATAGGATGACTCGAAGTGAGTGGCAGGAAAGACTAGTCAACCCAAATAATGAGACAAATAATATTAAAAAATGATTCATCGTATAACATTTGACACTAAATGACAGTGTATATTGCCAAAAAGGGTCCCACATGAAATCAGGAGAGCCCCTTGAAATAATTTATTAAATTTGGCAATATGCCAAGAGTTAAATTAAAATTGGCAAAAAAAACTAATATGGATCAAATCAAGTAGTTCAGTAAGAATGCTGCATCCCCAGTGCAGTAGAAATCATTTAAATATGTATTTCAGTAAAGTAAATGAGACATATCAGGAATACTAATAGGCAGAGAATGAGAGACAAACCTGCATCCGCGACGCCATTGCCCCAGAAATGTTAGGTATCTGCCAAATAAAGAAGCAAAAATCATTGTAGAACTGAATATTGAAGAATGAAGATAATAGAACATACAATTAGGAGCAACCAACAGAAACAAGAAACACAATGTTGAAGGATCAAGAAATTGAACTTTTTATGCAATCACAGCAACTCAGCACAAATAAAGGAAGGTGATGAAAACAGACAAGAATTTGGATCCCACAATAGAAGCATAATACAGAAGCTGATCGATATGTCAAGTACTACATCTACACATAAATTTAAAAAAAACAAAAAAACAAAAAATTATTATCCATTGAAATGATGAATATTCTTTACCCATAAATTTCGACTATATTTTTCAGCTTTAGGTCCAGAATAACCACACCTGGGAACACCAATATACTACCTCCAGTTCTAATTATAAGAGCTAGTTGACGAATTTGAGAAGATTAAGGAAAGAAATTAAGTTAGTTATTTGTTATGAATATGTGTTGTCTTTCCTAAAATATCCTTGTTAATCAAGTGTATTGGTTAGAACTAACATTGTTAGAAGGACTACCTTAGAAAAAAATGTATAAATATGAGAGACAAAGTGGCTTAGGGTCTTATGTTTAAGACCAAAATAAAAGTCAAATAAGATCTTATATTAAGGACCGGAGGTAGTATATTATAAAATAAGAATCCCCAATACTGTTATACTGTACAGATTGGTTTTTGTGCTTTTTTATGTATTTTTTTCTTCTCTTCAAATTTTGCTGGGTTGTTGACAGAGCACGATGGCGTCGTGTGATTCATGTAGCTGACCCCACCTAGTGGGATAAGGCTTGTTGTTGTTGTTCAAATTTGCTGTTTTCTTTATCATTCCAAAAATAAAGAAATTGCTACCTTGTGAATGACAAGGTGAAATATTCTAGTTGAGTATAAAGGTCACTTGGTCCTTGCCCAAAAAGCCATCAAATACCTCGGATTAAGTGATGCCCTAGCCAAATATTTGCATGTTTCATTTTACGTTAGAAACCGCAAACCTATAATTTTATGGTTTTGATGGTTTACAACATAAAATCAAGTGCACTATATGACAATGAAAATCCGAAAAAACTATTTTACTAAAGAATGCAACAGATTTAAACTGTTTTCCATAATTTTTACAATATATATAGATATATCGAGCTCCCATTCAGTCAGACTATGAAAGTAGAAGGGATGCAATTAACTTCACTGTAAAATATACATACTACAAAGCTGACGGCAGACTCAATCAATTCTTTAACACATATATGCTTGTCAAAAAAAAAAAAATCTAAAATTAGAAAACCCGCAACATTCAGAAGCCAATATCCACCTTAAAATAAGTTTCCAACACAGAAGGAAAAACCAGAAATATTTAAGAAGAGAAACTAACAATTAACAAACACGATGGACGGAAAAAGGTGATACTTGATCATTATTATAATAGAAAGATAGAAGAAGAAAATAATTAAAATATTAAGGTCACTAAATTGCTGCATATGATATGGATTTACAATCACTATATGCCCTCAAAGAAGTTCCTTTCTTCTTATTCTAACTACCGACCTTCCCTTCAAAGAAGTCAATTACTCAGAAAGAACCAATAATCAGAGTTATATAACAAATTAATTGCTCTTCCTGATATCAAACAGAACATGTTATTAACAAAAAAAAACTTCCCAGCAAATTTTGCGACATGACAATCATACCATTTGGGTATTGGGTGTTGCCTGAGCAGCACTGAATAATGCACTATTAGCAGGACCCGAAAACTGGCTCAAGCGATTCATCTGATTTCCTTGGTTGAGTTGGCTTTGACCAATGCCATGCTGAACATGAGCCGAAGACAGTTGTCTGCCCTGAAATTGCTGATGCCCAAGTGATTGTGAAAACTGCATCTGATGTTGCCCATGCATCTGAGGGGGGAACCAAAATTTGTTATCAGCAAGAGAAAGAAAAGACAGGCATAAAAATAAGATTATTTTAACTGCCAGTTTGTGATATAGGTGCATATTATCATCGTCATGTTAACATGCACTTTTTGCCTATGAAAAAATATATAAATGTATACGTGTGAGTGCTCAAAACTGAAATAGTCAATAGCCAAATATTGATTCATTTCCTACTGATTTCCTGTGCTTTTTCCACTGTTTATACCACTAGAGGTTTACAAATAATTCCCTGAACGCCCATATCCCTATCTCCCAAATTACTTATAACCTAATGTTGTAATTATTCTTACCCTTTAATTTCCAGATACGAGTGCCCATAGTGGTACTTCTTAGAAAGTGACAAACTGATATAAACATAGAACTAAAAATCCAAACTACAGGGTGGAATCACAAAATGATGCACATCTGAATTAATAAAGTCAAGAAGCATATAAAATGTAATGCAACCCAATTCCTTAAGCCTACTGAAAGATAGGGGAAATAGCAAATCAATATATGATTCGCTAGCTTTACCTGTCCCATTCCTTGCATTGCAGATTGCCTAAACTGTTGCTGAGCAAGGAATTGCTGCTGTTGATGTTGAGGTAACTGCATCAGTTTCTGCCGTTGCTGCTGCTGAGTCTGAGGCTGCTGCTGCTGCTGCTGCTGCTGCTGAGGGGTTTGTTGCTGAGGAGATGGTGTATTCATCATATTAGTAGAAGACCTAGGTGAGTTAGCATATGGCATTGGTGACGCTGTTGTGTTGTCTAAAGAAGTGGTGCTAGTTGCAGCAGAAGGAGAAGCAGCTGATCTTCCCATAAGTTGTGCTCCCGAGCCCTACATTAACAACAGTAGGTGAGAGAATACAATGATTATACTAAAAGAATCAAAATATTATTCAAACAACCCAAATGAGGACACACTAATCCTCTTCCCATAACTATAACAGATAACCAACAAGAAGATTCCATGAAAACTAAAAATCATGAGACTAAAAAGGGATACATGAGGTATCCAACCCAACACACTAACACTGATTGAAGCAGAGAAATCACAAGCCATAAAAATGGATTTACACTTTTGGAAAAAGCAACTGAAATTATCACAGTAACAATTCCTCCAATATTTAGACTACCAGGAAAAACAGAAGAGAAAAGAGAATAAAATAAGCTATCATATATTCAGATATCAGAAATGACACTTCAATGGCAATGTCAGATCCAAACCTGTAATAACGAATTCGGGCCAACCATATTGTTTGATGTAAGCGGGGTATTCTTCATATACATGCCTGCAAGTAACATGAACAAATGCCACATCTCAACATGCTACCATTCACAACATTTCAACATAGACAGGTAAGAGTTATATAGTTTTACCAGATGTATCACCAAAGGGTTGTGGAGGCTCATGGACAGGAAGGACATCTGCTAAATGCATTGGAAGAGCAGGAGTAATATGCCTCTGATCTCCGGATAAACGCAATCCTTCAGGTGTAATCCAAATTATTATTGTACAAAATTATATAAGTGTTTGCTGTTGTTATTTATTGAGTTCAACTGAACAAAGCATATTTTAACATCATTCTGCAGTTCAAATCCTTTTTTTTTCCAAGTTCAAGTCCATTTATTCAAGGCTAAACCCAAAGTATACAGTGTAATAGCAGGCTTGTCTTCATAAAAAAAAAAAAAAATTTGAATCTAAACACAGCATAAAAGGATGCCTTGCCTTCATGGGGAAAAAAAATTTTGAATCTAAACCAGTATTTTGACAAATAACCCGGTTTGCCTGACACAATTAAGATTTTATGGGTCCAAATTTCATTTATATGTTACCTAAGAGGCTTTTGTAAACACTTCAGATGCCCTAACAACTTAAGTCCACAAAATTATCAACCAAATGAGGAATGAAACGAAGATGTTTCCTAAGTCAAAACCAAGCTTAAACACTTCTCATTCCATACCCATGACAATCACAATACCTCGTCCCTATCCCACTATAACATTCATTCCCCATCAAGTGCTAACATCTGTAATCTGACCTTAGTCTAATTCTTCTCATAACAGAACTATATATACCTGAGTATATGATACTAAGCCATTCACCACAGATCAGCACACTATAACCACGACAACAAGGCAGCTACTGATCCCATACACATACTTGGGATGCTTGTATTTTAATTTGACAAGTTTTCTATGTATAAAGCTATAATTTCCTCCAATCCTTTCACAGTCATTTCATTCTCATTGCTTCGCACAGCATCATCTCAGATCTCTAGGCTTCTTATATCTTCCCCTACTGAAATTCCCTCATCCTTCAGCAATGAAGCATGATACTGATTTTATAAGAAAAGCAGACTAGAGGATAAAATCAAGAGCACGCACCATATTTATCCATTGTGTATAAAGCAGCAAGTGAAAATTACCTTCACCAGCATTTACCGCAGCTCGAAGTAGATTTTCTTGCTCTTGAATTTTTGCAGCCTGTCCCTTGTCCAAAGTTGGGGCAATAGCAGGGCCTTGACGAGTTCCAAAACAATAGGCTTTACGAGTATCAGCCAAAACTTTTTCAGCGCCTTCACAGGCTGCTGCAATCATATCAAGTCTTGCCTGCAAATAAGTACATTAATGGCCAAGATGTAATTGAAAATAGAATGTGAAGAATCCATGAACTCCTAATCACCTTCAATTTCTCAATTTGAGTTGTTACTGGCAGGTTCTGCATCCCCTGAAGCAATTGCTCTCTTTTGGAGTTGTCATCAATCTCCATTTCAGGAAGAAGTTTAGAGGAGAGCATAACGGGTAGTACTGAAGCAAAAAATCCCATATAAATGATGGAATTTTATAAATGTCAAGTACAACTGTGTCTAATAAGGAGAAACTTCAAAGCAATTTATCAAACATGATCCTCTTCCCTTTCCCTCTCCCAAGAGGAAACATAGGTTGAGAACTCCAAAATCTATGCCCAAGAGAGTAGTCAAATTTTTTTACATTATTTCAGCACCAGCCATATAGAATAATGTAATCGACCAGCTTGATCTCAAAAACAATCGAGATGTGCCTATCTCTTAATGAACAACATTATTATATAGGCATCAATAATTTCAGGGTAAAGGCACATACTTGTAGCATTCTCAGCATTGACATTCTTCGGATGTACAACAAATGCCTTAGATACCTTCTTCATTTCGTCAACGATGTTGAAAAGCTCAAGGTTCACCATGGAATATTGCCCCAAAATATCTTGCCTGATGAACAAGAGATCACCAACATAATAATAAGCAAGCAACCCTTTTCATAAAATATGAATGTCCGCAACCAAAAAAAAAAAAAAAAAACCTTCAGAAATTAAACAGAAATGGTATAAATAACAATTCTCTTCCATTTTCTTTCTGGTTGCTCCACTCCTTCCATTAACAACAAATAAACACGAAAAGGGGGAACGAGTTATAGCAGGCCCTTTACGCACAATCAACTTACAATGTTACATTTGCATTTTAGCATAAACAAACATCAAGAAATTATAACATCCCGATGCAAAATACATAGTTCGAACAAGAAAACGCAATGAACAAAGATATAGGATTGAAAAAAGAAGACCATTTGGGGTTCGTATTTGTGCGAGCGTAGGCATCGAAGTCTTCCAGAATCCGAGAGATTGCTTTGAACAGGCTGATGGCGCGGGTCTTAACTTGTTCCAGATTGAGCTGCTGCTGCAATGCCTGGTTTAACCTCTCCGCCGCTGGCTGAGGTGGCTGTAGCTGCTGCGGCTGCTGAAGTTGGTTCTGCATCATTCCCTCCATAACTCCCACTGTGTGTTTTGCAGATCACGGAGAGGAAGACGAAAGATTGGTCCTTTTGGTGTGAAGGAAAATTTTGGCTCCTTTGGGAGTCAAGCATCCAAAAACCCCGATTTCGACTTTGGCCCCTCAATAAAAATTACAAATTGAGTCCTGCTTTTAATTTGAGTTTTCATCTTCGACCCCACATTGGATAAAAACTGAGTTTCGAAAATGCAAGTTAAATATCCATTTCAATAAAAAAAGTTCAAACAAACAATCAATGAAACTCTAAAGATGTGTTTGGATTACTCAAGAAATACTTTTAAAAAATACTTTTTTATACATTGTGATAAATTTTTCTGTATATATATTTTATATATCGTAAAAACATTTCACGATATACAATATCTAAATATTTAATCTCTTCTGGTTTCTATATATCACTTTATTTTTATTTCTAATTTGATTTAAAGGTTACCGCTTTAGTAATTTTAGAGGACTTGTCAATTTGCATTAATCAAACTAGCATCAACTTGAAAAAATTTAGAATAATATGAATGAAATACACATACTTAAAAGTTAAGAGCAAAGTATATACCTTTAAGAAAAAAAACAATTATATGTTGATCCAACACTAATTACTTTCATTGTAAAACGAAATGCTGGTTGCTTGCCTTTTATTTAGAGGGAAAAAGCAAACTAAAATCAGTTTTGGTTCTCTCAATCATATTAGCCAAATTTTAGCTTTCCATGCAATGTTTTTGTTTTCTTGATACACTCAACTCAATCTATTATTCTAAAATAATTTTTGATACACTCATTGTGTTAGAATGTTTTTTAACAACACCCAGTGTCCTAAAATATTTTTCATATTAGCAACAAGCACCCAAAATCTAATACACAAAGTGCTCTTGCAAAAATAATTTAAGGTAAAACTTATATTAAGATGTTAAATGCAACTAGAAAAATATTTTATGATGCTAAGTGTATCAAAAATTATTTTAGAATACCGGTGATACTCTTTGAAAAAATTATTTTAAGGTACTAAGTGTATTAAAAATCATTTTAGAATGCTTAGTGTTACTAAAAAAAAAACTTCAAAATACCAGATTTTTTAAAGTGCTGAGCCATCAATAATTATTTTATGATATTAAGGGTTACATGAACAATATTTTTAAGTTGTTAGGTGTATCAAAAATTATTTTAGAATACGAGATGTCTCTAAAACATATTTTAAGGCACTAAGTAAACCAAAAAATATCTCAGGATACTTAATGCTACTAAAAAATACTTTAAAATACTTAATATTATTTTTTTAAAAAAAAACCATTCCATACCCACCATTTTACATTCAAAATAGTATCATTTTAAGTAAAAGACAGTAATGAACCTAAATAGGCAGCAGAGAGAATCCGGTCCCTATTATTTACATACTCATGATCATATCTTTAATTATCGATAAAATTTCTAATTGATTAACTATGTAATATTTATTGAATTTTTAATCTCACCCTTATAAAAGGATATATTTTTAATAAGTCATGTTTTTTGCTGTAATAAAAAAATAAAATCATTATATAATAAAAAATAAGTCATCATGCAACAAAAATAATCGATATGTAAATATTAGTCTCTTCCTTTTTACCTGCACTTACATTTATCAATATTTAGAAAAAATATTAATACAATTTGGTATCAGAGACTAGTTTAAGGTTATAATTTGGTATCAGAGCTTGTTTTAAAATTACATGAAGAGTAATTTTGTGTCATATTCTTCTCTATCATGTTTAAAACATTTTTCCAAATTTTTAAGCATGATACATTTGATAAAATATAAGAATTTTTATCTCATTACTCAACAGCTTTTAAATCTAAGATGCCAAAAAAATAGCACGTGGTGTATTTTTTTAAAACACATAATAAGTCTTAGTCACTTTCTTTCTCACCAAATCAAAAACTAAAAGCAGTTTTAACTTCCACTTTCAATCATAATGCATTTGTAATTTGTTTTAAACCTTCATTAGTGACTATTATTTCAACTTGAAAGTCATTTGATATTCTTTCAACTACCATGTGTTTTCCGCAAGCTTATATATTTAAAATTATTTTATCTTAATTCTATTTAAGAATCCGGCACACGCTTTTCTTGTTAAATAAATACATTAAAATTAGAGATATTTCCTAAATCCACTACAGTATAATAATAATGAATTCTTGTATAATTTTCTTTATGTGATGTGTTACAATTTCACGATGCATGCAAAATCTTTAAGTATCTTCCCATAAAGTTGTAATTTCATTATCCATACTTTTATTGTTAAGCACAACTTTTCCTTGATTAGAGTTACAAAGAAAAGGTTGTTTCTGCTACATCAAAAAAAAAAAGAATTAGAAAGAAAAGGAATCGATCAACCCAAATTATATATCAATATAACATGTTTTCTTTTTAGTACAATTTATTTTGTAATTAGACAGTTTTTTTTTTATCTTAGTCCTATTTGTAGCTAAGATTATTAGCTAAGAAAGCTTATAAAATTACGAGTAAAAGCATATGAAAAATTATTCTCACAAAGAAATTTTTAAAATATAGCTATTTACTTACCTACTTGTAGAAGAAACAACAAAAAAAATCATTCTCTCTCAATGCATGGAAAATTATTGACCAAAGTGTTTATTTAATAAAGAGTTTTGTGTTTGTTTAGTGAATAAAAAGCTTTGTGCTTTTTAAATGAATAAATGCTTTTAATAAAAAGAATAAATAGCTTCGCGTTGTACATTTTTTTGTTAAAATTTGTTTTGAACTTTAGTTGGATATATATATATATATATATATATATATATTAGGTTGGAATGCAGTTATATAAACTTTTGCTTTAAGTATCTCTTTCTTTATACTCTTGGTTTGAATGTCAATTTTAGTAAATTATGATACATCTTTTTTTATCAATTAACCCCCTTAAATAAGAAGCCCTTTAGTAGCAGGAAAAAAAGGGGAAAAAAAAGGAGTTAGATTTTATTATAAAAATCAAGATATATAATATATTTACTTTAAATACTAAGGAGTTCTGCTCCTAAATTTTGCAAAAGTTTTTAATTTAAGTGACTTGAAAAAATCATGACTTGTTATGGTTATAATGATTTTATATTTAATACTATTTAATTATACTCAAGCATTGTTAAACTCAATTGAAATAATTTGGTTAATGTGATAATTTTTTATAAATTTTGGGTTTAATTACACAAATTCGCTTGAACTAACTTCGAAATATGTATAAATAATCTCCTTGAGTTCAAAAATAAAAAACAATTGGACTATCGCAAGAGACTTTTTTTTTTTTATGATACCATCACAAAAGACTTTGGTAGATGAGATGGTGAAACATAATAAAAGGAACTCGGGGGGTCCATAATTTTACATTCTCAGCTTTTAAGTCTCACAGCATGTCTCTCTAGCCTTCAACTTCTAACATTTAGATACAAGGATCACAAGATCGGCCTCAAGTTGGATATTAGACGAAAAATCTCCACCATTTTGTATATTGGCTTATAGCATGAACATGTATGATATAGGGCCAGGGGGCTATGACTGACATAAATGTTAATAGAAAGTAGATCAGAAAAAGGAGATACTGGTAGACTGGCAAAGGATACAAAATCACATTGTATGCAATGAAATAGCCAAAGAGAAGCAAAATTGCAAAAAACACACTAAAATGCTGCAGGAGGAAAAGGACAAAACATTGGAAAATAGGGCTTATAGCTTTATTTCTCTAAAACATCAGCAAGAACACACATTAGGCACTTTATTTGATTTTTGCAGCTTTTGATAGGAGATGTTATTGTTATTGCCTATGAGTCATAATGATCATCCACGAGGCTTACTTTTTAAGTATCTCTGGCCACGAGTTGTGATACTTAAACTTGGTTACATCAAAATAATTGGCGACAATATAATTAGCACAACAAATCTTCCTTTCTAAAACGAATTCTAGCTTGAAAGGAAGATGAATATGTGCACAGGTTTTAACTTGCCAGCTTTCTGAAAGGAAGACAAATGATGTTACCTTAAAAGAAAGCACGACTATAGCCAACATCTGCTAGAGTTTCACGAGAGATGCGCCACATTTCAAACCAATTGTAGTGGAAGAGTGGTCATATAGATCAACCGGATTGATGCTTTGGAATATTATACATAAGTGTTGTATGGAGATAAGATAATTTCCATCAAACAGCATACAATAGTTATGCATGTCTGGCTAATTAGAGTCTTCTCAGCAAGACATCTTGTTTCAAACACTGAAGCAACAGCAATCAAAAAAATCAGCACTCTTCATATTTGTCAGAGGCAGGATTTGACAATGAGGCATTTGATAGAATGATAACAATTTAAAAAAGAAACCAAAATGAAGCACTAGAAATCAAAGAAAATCAACACTCCTGTTAAATTTTCTTCAACACAAAATTTAACTAAACATAAATCTTGCTAAAAAGTCACATCAACAAATACCCAAAAACTAAGCAGATGATATGCATGACTCATTTTGGTAAGGAAGAAGCATTTTATCATAAATTGAAAATCACAGAATAACTTCGGCTTCCCCTAATAATGGGACATCCATTTTGTACACTCTTTCTCCTCTGTTTTGATCTCCTCCTTCGTTGTCAGCTCTTTTGTCAAAAGAAATGGTTATAACATAAACAGAAATAATTCAGGTAACCTTCTTCTTAGGAAGTACGTGAGCACATATCCAAGAAATTTTAAGATCGTCTCTTCTGCTTTGTTCTACAAGAATAATCCAAATAAGATAACATGTTTTTATTAAGAAAATTTGATTTCATTTCAGTTAGCAAATATCAAGTTTGAGAAGCATAGTGATTAGATACTGTAATAGATTGCCTCAGTTGCTCAGCCACTCCAAGTTAGTACAGAAAGGTCACCCATAAAATACATTACAACATCAAATAAGGGTGAATATAAAATTAAGGGAAAAAATTTCATGACAGCCCCATGTAGAACTAAAAATATGAATTATCTTGGCCAAAAATATATGGTATAAACAAAAAGGTCTACATAAAATACATTACAACATAACTATAACATGTATACGGCCATATACTGACACTCACATGGTACATAATCCCCATATATATTTTTACAAGAATAGTTTTTACAGAATTATGCTCGTTATTTAGTTACCCAGAACCTTGTCAGATCAAGCACAGATGCTCCAAAGAAAAGGCATTACTTTCCGAAGTTGCCAGAATCTTGTGACATTGAAGAAGTGCACAAACTACAATTTTGTTTAAAAAAAAAAAAAGCATTAAGTATATGATAGTTCAGGCCAAAGATAAATATGAATGAAATTTCAAGAAATGTTGATGGTCATGTGTGAGCAAGCAAAATGAGAGCTGCCAAAGAACAAAAAGGTAATAAAAATGCAGACAGGGAGAGAGAAGCGTATTGATCAATTGTGAAACATAAGTATCCAGAAGTTTCATTTCTGGACTCACCACCAATGAATTACTACTGATCAGAAAAGTTGCCAGAAGAGAATCCAAAATTGCCCGGCCCCCCGGGGGGGGAGGGGGGGGGAGGATTTCAACAACCCATGAGAAAACATGTTATGGAGCGTGCCTTTTTTCTCTGTCTCGCGCATCCTTACCTGACAAAGCTATTTGCCCGTTCATTTATAGCATTGGTAAAGCCACCTCCCCACCGTCACATCCTCGCTTGAAACCATTAAAACCAAGACCAGAATTATCTATAAAAATAATAAGTCAAAAATCATTCACCTTCAACCCCGATGAATGATAGAGTTCAAAAAGCAACAAATGGGAAATCTGAATCAAAGACAAAAATGAGCAACGTAACTTTTTCCTGATATGCAAATATTTATATCTTCCTTCTTGCCAACTCCTATGTATATCAACTAAACTTTTTAAAAAAAAAAACATATAATTAATTACTAACTAACAAGAAACACAAATAAATTATACCTAGAAGTACATAGTTCGTGTGTCCTTCATGTCAAGCTCTTTTTATCACTATGGATAGAATTCTGGCATACATGTTCATATTGATATTATTTTATTAATACCATCATAAAAAAATGAGCGAAGTCTCGGCTGCAATTAATAACAGTAATAACCTAAGTAAGCTCTTTTCTTTCAATTATAATTAAGAATTTCTAAAAATTTATTAACTAAGGAAAATTCTTATTCATGACATTTCATGTAAACGGTAAACCTCAATGTTACTAAATGTAGGAGAATTAAAATTTAAAGCGAAATTATTGATTTCTTCATTTTATTTGTGTTTTCTAATAGTCAATATAGGAGTCATTTTCAGTATATGAATGAACGTTCTCAATTCCACATTTGCATAAAAACAAAAAAAGGAATTAACTAAATAGCAAAATAGGAATGGACATAGAGATGATGATTCCGTATTAGATGAACAGGATATTCAGTTTCAAAACTACGTTGTTGCGGGATTGGGTCTAGCGGAAGGAGCTAGTTTCTCACAATATAGTGAACAAGATTCAAATCCTCATTGGAAAAGGTACTCACATTTAGTGCTGGACAGTATTTCAAATATGATTACTTTATATCTATACTTTAAGGGGGAAAAAACCATGCCGTTGTGCTTCATTCCAACACTCAAAATCCCCCCCCCCCAATGCGGGAGTCCTGTTTCTTCATCCCTCCTTCTCTCTCTTTTATTTTTTCCTGCTAACTTCTTTTTTTTTTTATTTTAAACATACTTTTTTTTTGCCAACTATTTTAAACACCTTCATAATTAAAAAAAAAATTAAACATTGTCGTTTCCTAAAAATTATCATATACCCTTCCAGTCTCATTTATAAGGTAAAAAGAATTTTTTTGGGTCTTATTTATGAATCCTATCATTAATTTTTTTACTTACCTTTAATATATTATCATGTGCATTATTATGCTGACTTTGTACCACTGTCAGGATAAAGTGTACATTGAATTAATTCATAATTGTTATATACTCCTTGTCCTATACATGTTTAACTGGAGAAAAACATAAACACTCATCAACTCTGTTTTAAAATTTATAAGTTACTCGTTATGGTTATAAGTTAAGTTTGAAATAAATAAATTACGTAACTCAAAAGGTTAGTTAAAATTAATTAAATATAGTAAATAAGTAAAAAATTTATTTTCCTAAAACACCCCAGGTGAGTGGAGAAAATAGATAAAAGATATATATACATAAGTAATTAGAGCTAAAAATAGAAAAATATGATAAAAAAATAGAGCTCTTCTAAGATTTGAAGCTAATATTTTAAATAGGAGGGAGTACTTTATCCCTACAATCTAAAATTCACACAATACACCGTCTTGCCCTTATTGTATGTTTCAAACAAGAGATTTACGTATAATAAAAAAATAATTAAAATTAGTTGAATATAAATTTAAATATTAAGCAAACCTAAATTGACAGTTGAAAATAAGAATGGAGATGATAATAAATAAATAATACAATTATATATTTATGTAAAAAATTTAATGGTGTGACACATAAATAGAGATGGTAATACAAACAAGTTTTGAACTCGCAAATTAGAATTACACAATGCGGGTTGAAAAAAACTCATGTAATGAGAACTAATTTTCAATCAAACCTAATCCGTCATAGTGGATTAACTTCTAACTATTATTTTTTTTTTTAAAATGTTATTTTTAAATATTTTTCTCATACAATATAAATAAAATATCATAAAATTTTGGTTTTTTTTTCAAATACTTGATTGAAAACACCAAATAAATAATATAAGTATTTTTTAAATTTTTTAAATAGAATGCAAAATATAATAATATGATTATAATAATTACTAAAATAAAAAAAATCAAATGTCTGTTAACCGGATTGTGGATTTTCCGGTACAAATTGAAAAGTTTCGTTTACTGGGATCCACAGATTGATCCGAGACCACATTATAATATACTACCTCCGATCCTTATTATAAGACCCTGTTTGACTTTTTGTTTGGTCCTAATTATAAGACCCCAATCCATTTTGTCTCTCATATTTATGCATTTTTCCAAGATAATCCTTCTAATAATGATAGTTCTAGCCAATATACTTAATTAGCAAGGATATTTTAGGAATGACAACACTTATTTATTACAAATAACTTACTTAACTTACTTCCTTAATCTCCTCAAATAAGTCAACTGGGTCTTATAATTAGGACCGGAGGTAGTACATTGCGAACTAGCATTTCAAGTAAACATCTCTACAGACAACATTTACATAAATGGAATCCCACTGGCGAATTCCCTTGACCCTTAGCAACCAAAATCTAAAACATCTCAAGGTTGGATCTTTACAGCTCCTGCCGAGAGAAATGTGATACTCTCAGGTCATCATAAAGAACTTCCATGCCTGAATGAGCCTGCAAAAGACATTAGACAATCTATATCATTAAAAGATGCCTCAAATTTATATATAATATAAAAACAAACTCTGACTTATGCTCCAAGCAACACAACCCAGGAACAAAATTCTCTCCAGGTGCAAAAAAGTCCACATGGAAGTCCAGCTAGAACTACATTAGTTTCTTACATTATTACATCTTCATCAGCACAGTTCATCTATTGTTAATCAAAGAGGATTTAGAAGTCTAAAACCATATGATGACATAAATACCAAGACATGCCTAACATTGACATAATTTGTTTCTGTTCACTTCATATATTTTACAGTCAGGTGCTAATTTCTTTTCTCATAGAAAAGCCACGAACATGCAGCTTTGTAGACCTGGCATTGTTCAAAGTTGTCAAATGGAAACTATTTCTATTCTGATACACAGCAGCAGAGCTGCAAGCAGATCCCGCAAAATCGATGCCCCATTATTTTCAAAAAGAAGAGTAACCCAGAAAATTAGTTATGGCAAAATGGAGATCGACAAAAGGAAAATTCTTGGAATTAGATGCCAAGTTTCTGATAAAAAATATTGAAACATTCGATCACAAGGCGGCGATTTTCAGTTTTTTTTTTTTCAAAAAAAAAAAAAAATCTTCACATGACATTTTTGTACCTAACGTCTAAGAAGTTATACTTCACGTTTAAAACACATATTTCTCAAGTAGAGCTATTGGCATGAGAAATGAAAACCGCACGTATATCTTACCTCAGATGCAATTTGTGAACAAGTAAAAATCCTCATCCTTCCTCATCCTCGGAGCAAGCATTACAATTAGATGTTGCCTCAATCTCCGTCGGGTGTGGAGAAGAACCTAAACCACATAATAAAAGACAGGTAAGTGACAAAGCACCAATCCAATTAATCCCTTAATAACCATCTTCAACAAATGCCTAGCATCAGCAACTAAACCGACATATTATCAGGCAAGAGTAACATCCAAGACGACGAAGGCCTCTACAGTTTAGCATCGGACAATTGAATGTGCCAAATTACGAATTAGCACCAACATCTTTTCAATTATAGTCTTGCTTGATTCCTGGTTATCCATCGCTAGCTTCTTAATTCAATTTCACCCTATTCACACAATTCTGGATCACATCATTTAGCGGGCAAAAAGAACATACCCTGGATGAAATACGAAGGAGAAGGCCAGGCTCCAGGGGAGGTGAGGGGCGGAGAATCCTGCTGAGCGGGGGGATCGGTAAGGTTATGGAGCAAATTGGCGAGACCATTGGAAGGCGTGGAAGGTGGAGGGACCCAGTAAGAAGCGCCGGGATAAAAGGGGAGCCAGTCAGGGGCGGATCGGCGAACGATGATGCACTGGATTGCGTCCTCAAGCTTGCGAATTAGAGGATCGGTGTTGCAAGAAGCAGCATCGACGTCGACGACATCAGAGGAGGAGGGCTGGTTGGATTGGTTCCGGTGAGGAAGGAGACGAGAGAGAGGAGACATGGATTTGGTAGATAGGGTTAGGGTGCGAGCAACGGATCTGGCCATTCAACAGGGAGAGAAGGAGAGAGTAGGTGTGAACTGAAGAAGAAGGTGAAGGTTATAGGAACGTGAGGAATATGGATAATAGAATTATAGAGAGAAGTGAGAGAGAAAGTACGGGACCGGATAAGAAGGCTTATTCATATATATAGCACACGGGGGTCGCCCCTCATGTGCGGAATCTGCGAGCCGGCCCGCGGTTTTGTACCTACGAAGGAACCAAACAATAGATCGTCGGTCCACATGCGTAATAAATATCGCCATTGGCGTAAGAGAATTGTGGGTTTGGATTACCATCTTGGTTTCTAAAATAATTATAGCATTAAAATGAATTTAAGGAACCAACTTGATGATTCTAATGAAAGAAGTTAGTTTCTTATGACAAATTAATTTTTAGTTTCTATTGGGATAAATACTCATATTTAGTACTCTTTCGATTCTTAATATAAGATCTATTTAATTAATTTGATTACATTAAGAAAGTTAGGTAAGTTAATTAACAATAATAAATACAACATGTTTTTTTTTTGTAAAATACCTTAATTATCTTCGTTATATCCTTTTTTCCTCTCATACTTGATTATGGTTGAGAGAGTATTAATAAGGCTGATTTGGAAAAAATTAATAGATATAAAAAATAAGTCTTATATTTAAGACTAAAATCAACTCTATAATTAAATCATATATTAAGGACTAGAGGAGTATTTAATAAGATTGTCTTCAATAAGAAAATATCTGTGCATATAAAAAAAAATTTTAAGGTGAACTCGCAAATGAGTCGTTTGACCCATCTGATTATAAATTTTGGATAGATTGATTGCCTTGAATTTTATATTTTTTCTCTTTCTTTATTAGGCCTGAAACAATGATGTTATTTGAAGTATTAAAAAAATAGCATTTGTTTAGATTTGTGTTATATTAACTTGTTTTGTTATGTGTGTTTTTATACATGGACGTTGTTTTTGCCTGTGAATTCATGTTTGCTTATTTAAATATTATTTTTTAGTGTTATATATGAATATTTTTATATGTTTTAATTAAATTATATTATTCATATTATTGGTTTTTGAATTACTGTCTTAACCAATGTAATGACCAGTTTAGTTTTCAGTCCCTCTACATAAATATAAGGCATAGTCAAGTTTCATTTATTTATTTATTTTGGTTGAGGAGTCTGTTTAACTCTAAATGTAAGACTTCTTTTCTTCTTTTTTTCACCAACGAGACTTCTATTCATTTTCTTTCTAAATTTATATTTTTAAGATAGCCATGAAAATAATGATTAAAGTGAGATATTTTGATAAAACTAACACATATTTATCACAAAAATATTAGCTTAACTAATTTTGTTCCCACTATATTAGTTATTTAATTTCCATATTTAGAATAGAAAATAATGTTATTATTCAATGAAACGAGTGTCTTTGTGTCTAGCTAGTCGGTGAAGGTTCTTCGTTGGTAATTTACAATTTTCCTTCATAAATTTTTTTCTGTCTGATCATTTGTTCTTTGTTAGCAAGCTATTTTCGTAGACAAATTATAAATATTGTGATTCTTCTTCAAATTTCATGTAATACACGTTGTTCACCAAATTTTATTTATGAAGATCAAATTAAAGGGATATTTTTCTCATGGTCGAAAAAATATTGAAAATATAATTTCTTAGAAAAAATGAATGGAATAATATATAATAAGTGAACGTTAATGATAACGTTTTATTCGCCCATTAATTTAATGTTCTCACGTTGCACGCATCACCTTGTTTATCCCTTCGATTCGCACGCCACGTTTGACAACTTTCAGATTCCTTCATCCATCTTATAGTATTTGATGCCCTTGTTCTTAACTCAAATTATCATATGAAATTACTTCTTTTATAAAATTTAGATTTAAAGTGGAAAAGGAATTTGCGATGCAATTAGATTTAAGGTGGAAAAGTAATCTGTTATGCAATTTTATTTTTAAAGTATTTTTTTACCAATAATTTTGCTTTTAAAGAATTTTTCAATGTAATTTTTACCGTTAATCCTTTAAAAAATCTGTTAAGTAAACTTCATAATAATTTTTTTGGGTACAATTTTACCTAAAGTATTTTTTGAGTTAACTTTTTTCTTTCGTAACCTTTTTTCCGTATTTTCAATACCCATCTTGCATATTTTTAGTACTCGTCTTTAGCATTTTTAATAATATATTTTTCAACTTTTTCATCAGTAACCTTAAATAGTATTTTTTAAAATATATCTTCCATATTTTCAACTTAATATTTAATTGTTTTTGGACCGAACTATATTTATTTTAGGAAAAACATATAAATATATATAACCCTATTATGAGACAACATTTATAATTAAATTTTTCTAATTTTTTATTTTCATGAATCCTTGTGAAATGTTTCGTATACTTATAATTTATTAATTTATTAAAGAAATAACATGAATTAATTTTGTCATGTGAATCAAAATAAAAACAAAATCAACATGGTTTCCTATTACTAGGGGGGAAAAAAAAGAGATGGTGAGAGAAAAGTAATTTTTTTTTTATATTGATAACAAATGGATCTTATTTCATCATTTTATTTTTTTTCCAAAGAAATTATTTTGTACTACCTTGGTCATTAATATAAGAGTAGAATAACTAATTTGGTGATATTAAAAAAATTAGTTAAGTTGATTATTTCTCACAAATGTGTGTTGGTCTCCCTAGATTACCTTTTTCAATCATATGCATCGGATGATTGGAATTGTCCCTTGATAGGATCCCTTTACGATCAATAGAATATTTTGAGAAAAGCTAGGAGACAAGATGGATTGATACCTTAAACTACTTCTGATCATTAATATAAGACTCAATTGATTAATTTTGTAAGATTAAGAAAATTACTAAATTACTTAATTATAACATATCTTATATGATCTCTCTAAAATACTTATGTATATTATTAGATTATATATCAATTTATAAGCGAGTATAATTAGTTTTAAAAAAACCGTAAATATAAATACTTTAAAATAATTAAGTCTCCCTAAATTAGTTAATTTAATCTTATATTAAAAATTGGAGATAGTATTTAGGACCAAATTCAACTCCCAACTAATTTTTATATTAAGAATGGGAAGTATATGTTGTAGGAACTTATAAGTCGCTCAGTTAACATCCATAATACCCATAATCAACAATGAACAAAAAGACTAGGAAAGACATTCAGTACTTTACAACAAGGGAAAAAATTACAGGACTTGATAAGAGAGATTAGGTAAAATTTTAAGAAGTAATGGATTTTTTTCACTTTATGGGGAAAAAAAGAAAAGAAAAAAGCGTCGTAACAGAATCAATGAATTTAAAAAAAAAAATTAAACAACCTATTGATTTGAATCCGAGTTAATTGATAATATGAAATGTTGGATGGGTTGTTGAAGAAGAATACATCATATTGTCTTCTAGAAAAAGTCCATACAAATTACCATTGGAATTTAAATGGTCAAAATTTTCAAAGAATTCTTGTCAAATTAAAGCGCGTTTAGGTTTAACTTATTATTTATTTTTCCATAATTCTTTTTTTTTTTTTTGGTGACATGACCATTATTCTTTTAAATGTATAACGTTATTCTCTCATCAACATTTTCGTCCAAAATTTAGTCTTAAATAATACCGCCTCCGGTCCTTAATATATAACCTTGTTTGATTTTTATTTTGGTCATAAATATAAAATATCAATCCATTTTGTCTCTCATATTTATACACTTTTTTCCAAAGTAATCTTTCTAACAATGATAGTTTTAATCAATACACTTGATTAGCAAGAATATTTTAGAAAATACAACACCTATTTAGAACAAAAAACTAAATCAACTTACTTCCTTAATCTCCTCAAATTAGTCAACTGGCTCTTATAATTAGGACTGGAAGTAGTAATTTTTTTCAACAGTCATATTTTGAAAATTAATCTTAATATATTAACATTAAGATATTAATATTATTATGTTTTGTTAATAATTTTAGGATTAAAAAAAAGCCAAACTGAAATTTTTTATAAAGTTAAATGAGCAAGTATACACTTTTTCCTTATTTAAAATCATATACCTCATTTGCTCTTCTTTTATCAAATTAAAGCAAGTAGATTTTAAATTTAAAAATAATTAAAAAGTACCTATAACAAGAATTAGTTGTGAATATAAAAATCCATTTATTTTTTATTTGCCCAAAAAAGAGAGGCATGTATATCCAAATAGAATGCAGCCCATTAGTATTTAATATTTTAATGTAAAATATAAAAATCACAAGTCATATCATTCACAGGCAGCCATGAACAATATATTTAATTCTACAAAATAATATGCCTAGTTTGCTGTTAAAATTAAAAAGAACGCATCATTGATTCCTTTCACAAACAGAAAGCACCAAGTTCTACCCAAAACAAAACAAAACAAAAAAAGAAAAAGAAAAAGAAGAAAGCACCAAGTTCCTCTGAAGACACCTTGTCACTATATGAACCAACCGACATCCATAAAAACAATGCAAAATCCTTGAGGGGAAAAATATAACTAAAAGAATAAGAACTTACATTAGCTATACAGCAAACTACGAGTTGAGTGTGAAAACAAATCACCAACGTCAACTGTAGAATCATCATCATCAAACTTACAAACATCATCATCAACCATCACCATCAACTTCTGGTATGGGAACAAAATGTTCTCTCTTTTGTTTTGCAAAACGAAGAAGAAGAAGAAGAAGGCCTAACAGTGTTCTGGGTCACATTGTGATATAACTACACCGGAATGACATCAATCTTGGTTGTATCTTCACATCTCAAAACAATACCTTCGAGACTAGCAGGAAATATACATTTAGCCCATTGGCATCCAGTGTTCAAAGGCTCAGTTGGAGGGACAATCATAAGCACATTCTCATTCCTCTGAACCACTCCCATTACGCTTACTGTGCTACCTTCTTTGATATACCTGAACAAGTAATAATGGCAGTCTCATGAGGACTTGTTGCCCATCCAGGGATATTTTCATATTTTGGCACATAGAACAGGTTTTAACTACCATCATTGAATGTTACTGATAAAGGTATCAATGTCAACCAGGTGTAGCAGTTTGCCTTTGTATCAATGAATAATATGAAAATTTTCAGACTTTTTTTAGCAGAAGAAGTATTATACCCTTCTTTTATGCGCATTACACGATCATCACTTGAAAGATTTCTCTCTCCCAACCATCGGAGAAACTCTGGGGACATGTCTTTGTTGGACGGATTAACATCGATTATAACAGACTCATCAACATAAGGAGTCACCCTTGCACCATAACCTGTTTTGACTAACGCTCTCAATCCGGATTGAAAATCCGAGATGTAAAAATCCACCACATGCCTCTGCATTAAATAAATCCAAGGTAAACTTTTTAAGAGATAAAAGTCACATGTTTGTTATACTACAAATCCTCCATATCCTGACAAGGATGTCTGGCCTACATGCGAAATAAGATTATATAAATTCGAGTCGACAAGAATTAAACCTAAAACTTCCAAATCAACACATACACACACTTGACAGCAGCAGCTAAATGTTCTCACAATAGTTTGCTCCAATCAAGGCAAACTTGTACCATCAGAAATTAGAAATAGCATGAACCCAAATGCGCCAACATATTATTGACATATGCGCCAAATGCGCCAACATATTATTGACATATGCATGCATAAATTATATGGAGAGAACTCTAACAAGAAAGAGCCCTTTTAACGCTTACTTTAGTTAATTATGTTATTTTGGTTCTGAGTAACAATAGAGAGTAATAATCAAAGGATAGCATAGTATACCTTCTTTTCCTCTCAATGGCTTGTAGCCTAGTACATCTGTCAATGGCTTGTGGTAATCAAAGGTCGCACAAGAAGCTAGAAACCAAAACTTAGCACTATAGAAATAAACCTTGGGTTCCCTTCCCCTTCCGGCACAATGAAAGACAAGTCAAGTAGGGTAGCACACTATCCTTGGAACAATACTCAACTAATATTATGCATACCCAAGAACGCTTATACCATGATGTAATCATAGAGAACTCGAAAGAGAAGAGAGGCTCTATCATTAGGTATGCACCCCGCGAAAAAAACCAAAAAACTTCAAGACAGGGAGATGAAAAGAATATTAGCAAAACCAAAATGAATCAATCAGAATGGTAGACATCTAACCCCTTCCACAAACAATCCATATAGAGTAACCCTAAAAGCAATCATTATTCTTTATATGCAACCATTATACTTTATATATGCCTAAACTAAGGAAAGAAAAATTGTTTGAGAAGCTCATCATATTAAAAAGGAAAAAAGGTCAAGAGATTATTGTGTTCACCTCAGCTGATCTTAGTCCCCAAGTAAAACGGTGATGCTTTGGGTTGGCAGGTTTTGAACCCCATCCTCGATATTCATACAAGCTTGTAGATGTATAAACACATCTAGGGACTTTCCGAAAGGATGATTCAAGAGGGACATTACCACAGGTAACCACCTTCAAAAGGCACAACAAATCATTGTGAATTTCTCTCTTTTGCACATTGGAATATACAAAACTGCCAGAATAATATAGCCCTACACAAGAGACTCCAGCCAACCATTCAAATCATGATTATCAGAGGATAATCAGTTGCCTAAAAATCATTTCCACCATTGAGCAGGAAGCCAATCAAAGGGATAGGTGAACTAGGTTACATCTGCCTAATCATACCCTTTCTTCCATGTCTTTTTTCAAAGTAAATCATTCAATATAAATATATGTCCATATTAATCAAGTTACATACCCCAGAAACCTTCACAAATTGCCCATTCTTAGCGGTTCGAAGCTCGGCATCAGGATAACGAGAAATGAAACTGACAATGCCTCCCCTCCCATAACAACTATTCCATGTAAATAATGCACCAACAGCAGCAAACAGAATTACTACAACAATCAGAAGAATAGCATTGTGGACAGCTCCAAGAATAAAGCCTCCAGCAATGAATCCCATAACAAAAATCAGAATCACAGACCACAAAATTGGCTTCGGGAAATTCCTCCTGAAGGAATATTCATCATCTGGGCTAAGAGTGGTCACAGCTGGATTGTGAGCAACAGAGAAACTTTGTGATTTCATTGATCCTGTGGACTCTAATGGACCTGATACTTTCCTTGGAGCCCCAGATGAGTTTAGTGGGCCAGATGTAATAAGACCAGTAGTAGGAAGAACAGGAGGAATTGAACCAGAGTTTTGGCGTGTAACTCCACCGGATTGAGGTCCAGATGACTTCTTAACAGGTTCCCCATGTTTATTCAAAGGACCAGAGTTGGTTTTCTTCATTGAGGCTGAAGTAGTCATGCCTCCAGCAGATAGATTACCTGATGTAGTGTACCCAGCACGAGCTCCAGCATTAATAGGTCCAGAATGTGAAGCAGCGCCTGCAAATGATCCGGTCCTTGAGGGAGCACCACCTAATTGACCAGATTTTCTAGATTTTGAACCATCCATGGGGATATCAAACATTTTCCCAAGGTCTCCTGACTTCTTGATGTCACCGCCAGTATATGGCATGGCAACAGAGCTCATTGTTGGTCCCTTTTCTTTCGGCTGTTCAGGCCGGCCTGACACATATAGGCCATTGCTGAGCTGGTGAGATGGGAATCTTGAACCCATCAGCCTTCTTAATGTTGTCCCAAAGAGGTAGCAAAGCAAAACTGCAAACAGAGAGACAAATGAGATAATTGAAACAGAAAGTAAACTTAATTCCATACTTTCATGAGCAGGCACGTCTAATTTCACAGAGAAAACCAAAGTTATCAATTCTCCAACACAATCTGGCAACTAACCTACTAAACTTTCAACATTCAACATTAGGAAAATAACCCCTTCCATATAAAGTGACCGATATTTGAATACCAACTACACTAACTGCTTAAAAACAAAAAATCTACAAAATGTTCATCTAGTAGCAAAGCCGCACATGTTGTTGTCTTAAGTTCCACCAATTCTCCAAATCAATTCATCCTCTTTACTTAGCCCCATTTAGTTTGCAGGAAAATGGGCTGGGGAAGAGGACAAGGAAATAGCATTTTTCTTTATTTGGTTTGCAGGGCTTTTGGCCCCTGGGAGTACATTTTATAGGTATGAGGCTGAAAATCGATTCCAAAGCAGACCCAATGGAAAATTATATTTTCCTAGGAATCTTGTTTCTGCCCATTTTGACCTCATTAAGATTTTGTAAATCTGAAAGTACCCATTGCAACCCTTTTTTCATTTACTTCGTAGTACATATATAGAACTATTTGCTATGCGTTGAAAGTTCAACCAAGTCAACTGCCAAATTTGAAACCACAGGATCATTTGCTAAAGGATCAAAGTTGGGAACGAGGCATTTGGCTTTGCTCGACTGCCTTGAAACGACGCCGTTGTCTCATCTTCTTAGTCTCTCTTGTCTCTCTCGCACATTTCAACTTTGATCCTTATACTTTATAGGCAGTGGAGAGGCAGTGGAGCCAAGCCAAACGTGCGGAAGAGAAGGAGGGTTTCCCCTTTTAAATCTACCCAAATGGGATCAATAGATTTGGTGGGGGGGGATCATTTCCCCTTTTGAATATGCCCATGAATTTGCCCAGAATTTGAAAAAGAATGTTATTTAAAATTAATTAAAAGGCACCACGGTTAAAATTGAGAAAGTGACATTAATTTTTATTTTCCAACAAGAAACACTATGAAAAAAGTACATCACCATCAAAATTCGGCAATAATGAGAAGAGAATAATAGCAACAACATGAATAGAGTTACTTTTTTGATCTACTGGAAATGATTAAAGTGAGTGAGTAGAAAATTCTGCGGTCATCTATAGTAGTAAGTGCACCTGTTTCGTTCTTTAACAACACGTCATGAAAGTTCCAACAAAATTAGGTGATTAATTGGCTATCTATTTGCTATACTGAATTATACCTACGGATAGCAGCTCAAATATACATTATCTTTCAACATAGATAAGGGAACTGTGAAATAGTTAGTCAATTAGTTAGAAGTTTATAGACCTTCAGGTTCAAATTACTGAACCGTGAGTAGTTTTTCCTCGACTACGAATGGACATATGACATTAATTCGGCCACTGGTTACACCTTGTCCTTCCACGATCATTACAAACCATGTCAATACACCTAAGGATACCAGAGAGTGGATCCAAAGTAAAAATGAAATTCGGGAGCCGTGGTCCGACTAGATCTCTGAACATTCCAGGTCAAGCAAGGGAAACCTCAAAATTCAAGTATTTTCCGAGATCCAAAGTAAAGCAGTGTGCAAAACAGAGACAAACCCCCTCATTCAAATGTACATTTGTTTCGAGAAGCAAAATTTTTCTCCCTTTCATCATCCAATGAGCATCAAGATACAGCACCAGAAAACTTCGAGAAAGAGACAAAAGACCCATATTGTAAATTTAACATCCGATGGTGATCCTCAGGAGCAAAAAATTACAACAATTTCATCCCCGAAATGAAAAACAAAGCAAACCCAGACCGCATTTAAATAGTAAGAATGCAATGGCAAGAGACCAACACGACATGTAGATACTGAGATGCGAATGGAGAAGAATAGAGTGAGTAAAGGAGGGACAAGCAAGGTAAGAAAAGTACCTGGAGAAGAAAACGGCGAGGAAAGAGGAGAGAGACAACGATGCAGAAAAGAAGAAGAATGGAGAGTAGTTGTGAGGAGTAGGAGAGAGTGATTGTGGTGGGAAGTCTAAGTCTGAGAGTGAGATCCCATCTTCAAAGCAGCAGTCGCCATCTCTATGAAAAAGAAAAAATGAAGCTGCTCTGTGCTTCTCTCCCCCCCCCCCCCCTCTCTCACTATTAAAAAGCCTTTCTCTCTCTTCAAACAGCCGCAACAACTGGGAGCAGGTTGTCTCGTCCGGCAAAAACCACCAAACAAAGGAAAAGAATATTTTCTTGCTCATATTTTCTCTTAGTTATTTAGGTTTTTTTTTAATGTTTAATTATTATATCTCCAAAACGCACCTTCCGCAACACCCCCTCATTCTTATTGTCCCCTCCCTTGCATTGGTTATTTTCTTTTTCTTTTTTTAGAAGATAATTATTAACTCATATTCACTAAAAATAGTTCAAAATTAATAATTAATAACTAACATAAAAACTTAAAAACACTCTTCATCAACACTCATCTTGAAATTCATGTGAACGCAGACAGGAAGACGGGCCGTCTCGAAATTCATGTGAAGGCAAACAGAGAAACTGATAGTCTCGAAATTTATGCAAATGCAGACAGAGAAACCAGACATTTCAAAATTCATGTGAACGCAAATAGGAAAACAAACGGTGCACGAAACCTTGTTAGTTTGAATGTAAATGGTAACAATGTCAATCTTACAAGTTATACATGAAGTTCAAAAAGTGAGTAACTGAAAAATATAACTTTCTATTATTATATTTATTCTTTGATAAACCTATTCAGTATCCAATAATATTATGTTATATTAAATTATTTTTAAGTATTATTAGGAGATTTTTTTCATTTATAATATACCAAATTTTGATACTACTAATTATCCTCCAACTAATTGAAGGCAGAATAAATGACTAATGAAACAAAAGGCACTTTGATTTGGTTTGAGATGTTTGATGATTTTTTTTGCATGTTGTGTATATGTTTGTGATCTTTTTTGCAAGTTGGTATACAATTTGAATGTTGGGAATACATAAAATAGTAGAACTTTCCTAAGGCAATTCAAATTTGAACTAATACTACCTCCGGTCCTTACTATAAGAGCTTGTTTGACTTTTATTTTGGTCCTAAATATAAGACCCCAATCTATTTTTTCTCTCATATTTATACACTTTTTTTCAAAGTAACCCTTCAACAATGATAATTCTAGTCAATACACTTGATTAGTAAGGATATTTTAAGAAAGACAACACATATTTAAAACAAATAACTAACTCAATTTACTTTCTTAATTTTCTCAAATTAATCAACTGGCTCTTATAATTAGGACCAGAGGTAGTATTTAAATTCTATGTTGGAAAAAAGTTGGGGGTTTTTTCACAACCCGAATTTTCTCATCCGGAGCCTTCCAAGAAAATGTGTAGAACTATTCTGAGATTCTAGTCAATGACAGACTTTGGCTGCATACTGCAAATATAATAAGACCCGCAGATATATTAAACTAAAATAAATTTGGGAAAATTATTCAAAAGTGCCTGATTTAAAACTTAATTATGCATAGGTACCTAAAATTTACTCCTCTGGTCCTTAATATAAGACCTAATTGTTGAGTTAATTTTGGCTTTAATTATAATATCTATTTCTCATATTTATCAGTTTTTCCTAAATTATCCCTATGAATATCCCTTAATCACAACCAAGTAAAAGAAGAAGAGAGGATATTAAGGAAGATGATTATGGTGTTTTAAGCAAAATATGTCATAGTTCTTATAATTAACTAACTTATCTAAGCTAATCAAATTAGTTAAATACGACTTATATTAAGGACCGAAAGAATATTTATGAAGAATAGCAGATACAACACAGCAGATACAACTCTGTAGTTGTGTGCAATATATCTTCAATTAGATATAGAAACATGAGTCAAAGACCTTATAGCCTTGACACTCTTTTATAAGTGAGAAATTATGAGTTCGATCCCACTTGTAATCTTACGCTATCTTTAAATTAAGGGGGGGGGGGAAGAAGTTACAAAATGCGAGACATTTATACATGGTTAAACATATGTTGCATACAGCTAGAGATGAGCTATAACTGTTCAAGGATACGGGTTTTTAGGCACTTTTGCACAATTAATTCCCTAATGAGAAGCGTCTTACCCATTTTTCCATTGAGTTTAGTGTAAAAAGTATGAAAGTAACTTGTGATTAATTAAAACAATAATTAAGATACGCTGCATCATCTCAGCCCATGATTTACCGTAACGTGAGAATCTTAAATATGAATAATTTTCTTGTTTGTTTCGCACCAATAAAAGTAGGAATCTTTCACTCCCTTGAAAGGTTGTTTATTGAATTATATTATTATATTTATAGTACTTTGAATGAAATGATGAATAGAGAAGAATAACATCGCTGCCCGCTGGAAACACCGTTTTTCAAGTGTCAAAAGCATGATCTGTACGGCAATACTCCATGCTCCCTTTGACTTCCCTCGCAATCCATCCCAGCTATGAATTGCTTCTAGAATTGCATATATTATTTTTAGATCACTATAAATTTCATTCAACATCAAAACTATCTTAAAGTCATTTTACGACGAAACATTGAAAATAAAAAATAAAGACTGAGATTATAATTAAGAAAATTTATTAAAAGAATACTTAGTATGAGAGATTGTTTGTTACATGATATTAAATAAACTCATAAAGATAGAATTGGAAAATACCTTTTCCCCTAATAATATTCTCCAATCATATATAGGTTTGACTAATCCAATAAAACAAGTAATCTTTTATGCTAACTACTCTTTTAGTAGATTTTCTCAATCTTAATTTTAATTCATATCTTCATTTTTAATACTTCGTAACGAAAATGACCTTACTTCCTACTTTTCATAAGCAAGCTATGGATTTGCTGTCGGAAGTCTTGTTCCTTAACCAAATCATTCTAAGTTTAATTGTTATAGATGTGGATGGGAAGGACTATTTCAACGGACGGGAAGTTAAAAATAGGTAGGAGAGGGAGAGGAACAAAGGCACTAAGACAAGGAATTAACAGGGCTAGATTAGTCCTTGCATATGGGGAAAGGAAATGAGAGATTTTAATGGAGAGAAAATAAGGAAAGAAAAGGGGAGAGGAATGGAAATCCATTAAAAATTGTTCTCTTTTCCTCCCCCTCCAACCAAGCGAATTAGCAAGTGTCTTTGCGTACCTTTGTTATGGATTACACGACTATAAAGCCTATTTATAAAAGCCTAGATATCATTTTTCTTTTAACTGATTTCTGTTATTATTATTCTGTTGACATGGTTCTTTCATCTTCTTTTACCTCATCGTAACATTTAAACATTTTTTCTCTTATATAGCATTTACTCTTATTCGGGGGCCCAAAAGAAAAAAAAAAAGCCAAACGAATTATTTGCCCGTACTTCATATCATTTGTAGTTCTTTGGAGTAGCAAGACTGCACCAGCGCATGCGTGGCGCAATGGCATGGTAGCTGCCCGTTGGTGGCCCTTATCAGGGTTCGATCCCTGCCTGCAAGCTCTACTTGCCTACTCAAAAAAAACTACACAAAAAAAAAAGCGCAAGACCGCCATATGACTTGGGCCTGCCTCACTCTAATTTGGATCGAGCTGAATGAGAATCACAGAGAATAACAAAGCTCTTACGGCAAGTAACTTGATTGGGTTCCCAAATCTTCAACCGGAGATTTCAAATTAGGTTGATGCAACTCCTTACCGGTTGAACCAAATGCTTGATTATTTTCACTTCCTTTTATAAATACGATGGAAATGTGGAAGTTGGTCCCCCCCTGGGGGGAAAGGAAAGGTGGAAGCCTTTTTTGGGTTTTTTTTGTGGGGGGGGGGGGTTTTAAATCCTTGCATAATGTACTGCAGTCTATATCAGTCAAATCATGCCACATAATATCCTACAAGTGTTCTAACATATTCAAGGCTGTTTGAAATAATCACTATTTTAGAGGGTGTTTGGATAAAACCAAACCATAGTTTGGAGAATAGCTTTTAGAGAATAGATTCTAGAGAGAATAGATTTTGTGAAAAAATAATTCTGAAAAGTGAGAGTATTTAGATAGTTGTTATCAGAAGCACTTTTTATATATATAAATTACTAAACAAACATAAATTAATATGATAATTACAAAAAGATATATTTTATGATATATTTTAATTTGAGAGAATAAAATTATTAATAATATATTTTTTACCAATATAATTAATAACACATAAGATAAAATAATTAATATGGGTATATATTTATAAGATATAAAATTAAATATGTTTATAAAAAAAATAATTGAATGATGTTAAAATCATATTATTGTTGAGATCTACTCTAACAAACACAATCATACTCTCCAATTTGAGTCAGAAGCAGAATAAATTCACTTCTTCTGAAACCAAACCATGGTTTTGATCTAAAACCATGATTTGTCAATTTCTTCCCTTGTTTGGCAAGTTTGGAACCAAAACCATGGTTTGGGTTCCAAAACCATGGTTTTGGAGGTTGGCCAAACAGACCTTAATCCTTCATCCTCAAATGCCCAGAAGGAAATTAACCTCAGTTACCAACGAATCTCTCACCCACGTAAAGCAAAAGAGGAAATCCGATCTGCATAATTCACTCTTCATGTCTGATTGTAGTAATATACTACCTCCAACTATTAATATAAGAGCTAGTTGTGTATAAAAAAAACTAGTTTAACTTTTAATTTGGTTTTAAATATAAAATTTTAACCATTTTGTCTCTTATATTTGTTTATTTATT